CTCCAAGGCTGCCTCCTCCCCCCATGAATAGGATTTCCCACATTCTAAATAATTATTTTAATCCCAAAACACATCTGGCCATTTTAAACATATCATGAAAAATGCCTTTCTTTGCCAATGTTTTTTTTGCCACAACAAACAAACAAACACATAAAATAGGCCCAACAGTCACAGCACTTGCTGAATGCTGCTGCTTGGAAGGCCGAGGCCACAGGGAGGCCTGAGTTTGATTCCAGGCCAAACTTTACAAGTTGGACACAGTGGCATACTGTTTAGTTCCTACTACTTGGAAGGCTGAGACAGAAGGATCTTTACATGGTGAGCCTCTGAGAAAAAAAAAAAAAAAAGAACAAAAAGACTCAGCTGTGGTGGTGCAGGTGGTAGGGAGCTGCCGGGTGATACTGGAGTCATACAGGAAGTCCCTGGGTTTGAATCCTGGGTCAATTATATCGATGGAAATAACCAATTCTGTAAAAATAATAATTAATGAGATTTATTTCTAAGTAGAATATGAGGGAACTAGGCCCAAAGAAGAGGCAAACATGCCTTTCTCGGGATGATCAGGTACAGGAGTTCCTTTTTTTTTTTTTTTTTATTTTTTTTTATTTTAAGAGCAAGAGAGAAAGTTTGCAATTTAGTTAAAGAGTTCTTCCATTGATGGGACCAGCAGTTAGCGTAATGGCTATGTCGCTGGACTCCCATGTAGTCAATCACGGTTCGCGTCCTGGACCCGGTGGCTTAAAACTCACGCTGGGCGCGTGTGCGTGCGTGCCCAAGATCCCGAGAGGAGAATGGAGGAGAAGGGATTGCAGTGGCATGGCCATGCCCCCTGGGGGATGATTTCTCGCTTTCTGTCTCTCTGTCTCTCTCTGTCTGGCAAGCGCACGCGCCCTATAGCAAAAACCTCTCCAAAACAAAAAAGTTTTTCCATTGGTCTAGTTCCAAAAGGGGGGACATGTGGAAGCAGTGGCTTGTTGGTTATAGGTACTTGTTCACAGTTTTTAAGTTGGTGATAGGAAAAGAAAGGTCCCTGAGATCAGAAAAGAATGTACTTTAACAGGGATAAGGAGGCTTAATATACATCATGAAGATACTATGCCAGGGACAAGATGTAAGAAGAATCCTGTTATTAATGGGTTAAAAGGGTCTGTTAACATTTGTGGGCATGACTCCCTGTAAGCCCTATGGAAAGGATTTTGGAAAATAGGAAAAAGCAGTCAGATTTCTGTCTTCAACTAGAAACAGCAGATATGCATATGGTGCACCCGTGATCCTGGCTGGCTGGAAAGCAGGTTGGGGGATCTCAGTATGCAAGACCCTGTCAAGGGTCCCTCTCTCTCTTTCTCCCTCTCTCTCCCTCTCACTCTCATGAAGTAAAGAGAGAAACAACAACCCCCACGTGCACACCATACGCCCATACACACACACACACGCACGAAATGAAATTAAAATTAAACAGATTATCAGTCCTTTATCCAATTTGCAGTGAGCATAATTTTTAGAAATAACCAATGCAAAATAAAATAAAAATTAACATCAGCTAAAATTTCACACGGTAAACTTTCATAGCCCTATCTTTTTTTTTTTAGAGGTTTTTGCTATAGGGCGTGTGCACTCACCAGACAGACAGAGACAGACATACAGAAAGCGAGAAATCACTCCCCAGGGGATGGCCACGCCGCAATCCCTTCTCCTCCATTCTCCTCTCGGGATCTTAGGCACGCACGCACATTCGCCCAGTGCGAGTTTAAGCTACCGGGTCCGGGACGCGAACCGCAGTCCACTACATGGGAGTCCAGTGACATAGCCATTACGCTAACTGCTGGTCCTTCATAGTCCTATCTTAAAGATAAAAAATATTAACCCAACAGAAATGAAACTTTAAAAAAAAATCCATTAATTTTATTTACTATTATTATCTTTTTAATTTACTCTGAGAGACATACACACACACACACACACACAAACATATACACACAGAGAGAAAGAGAGAGAGAGAGAGAGAGAGAGCCACCAGGTACAGGATTAGAACCCATGGTTGACCATGTAGGAATCCAGCACCTTAACTGCCATGCCACCTGCTGGCCCCAAAATTAGACTTAAGAAATAGTGGCTACATGGGACCAGCAGGTAGTATGGTGGGTGGTTAAGGGCACTGGACTCCCACATACCTGACCATGGTTTGAGTGGGCTGGCAAGTGGCATGGTGTTAGGGGCGTTGGACTCCCACATGGCTGACTACAGTTCAAGTCTTGGACCTGGTGGCCTGCTTTCTAGCTTTCTCTCTCTCGCTCTGTCCCTCTGTAGAAATCTAAATAAATAAGTAAATAAATAAATAAATTTAAATAAAATAATTATTTTAAAAAAGAAAAAGAAATAGTGGCCAAAAAAGAAAATTCACAAAGATAAAGCTATAAATTTCATAATATGTGGAAAAGACTTGATCCCAATGAAAATAAGTGGCAAAACTGAAAATTAGTTAAATATTATTCTAATGAAAATTAATCAAGAAATGCAACTGGCTTATTGAATTTGCTTCAGAAAAAAACTTATTTTTCTTTTTACTTTATTTTAAATTATGCAAACTTAAAAATACTTTCCTATTATAAACAATTGGAATGAAATAGGAATATACAGCCTCCCTTTACTCACAAGTTCCTACTCACTTCCCTTTTTTATCCATTTTAGGTATTTTTCATAACATTTTCTAGATAAAACTTCATTAGATTCGTATGTTTCTTAGGAAAAAATGTTTGTTTAGGGACCAGCAGATGGCATAATAGTTACATCACTAGACTCTCGTGTGGCCGACCATGGTTTGAGTCCTGGGCCTGGGAACCTAAAAACTCACACTGGGTGTGTGTGCATGTGTGCCCAAAATCCTGAGAAGAGAATGGAGAAGGGATTGTGGTGTGGCCATCCTCCTGATATATTGAGTTTCATTCTTTCTGTCTCTGTCTCTCAGGCAAGTGTATGCACCCTGTAGCAAAAATCTCTCTCTGAAAAAAAAAAGTTTGTTTAACAGAAGGACACTTAAACTTCCCCAAGGTTGTAAAAAAAAAAAAAGGAGAAGTAAAAATATACACACATTGGGACCAGCAGTTGGTGTAACGCTATGTCGCTGAACTCCCATGTAGTCAACTGCGGTTCAAGTGCTGCACCCGGTGGCTTAAACTCACGCCAGGCACGTGTGTGTGCGTGCCCAAGATCCTGAGAGGAGAATGGAGGAGAAGAGATTGCAGCATGGCCACCCCCCTGGGGGGTCATTTCTCTCTTTCTGTCTCTCTGTCTTTCTGGTGAGCACATGCGCCCTATAGCAAAAACCTCTCAAAAAAAAAATACACACACATCAAAGTAATAAATTAAGGACAAATATACCATCTCTCCATCTATTGTTCTCACATTAAATGCTGTTATTTCTGTACGTCATCCACGCCTTGCCTTGCTTTTCTTTTGTTCCCTTCTTTATTCCCTTCCATTCTCCGTCTTTTGTCAACATTTACCAAGCCCTGGGAACCAGCAGTTAGCGTAATGGCTATGTCGCTGGACTCCCACGTAGTTGACCGCGGTTCGCGTCCTGGACCCTGTGACTTAAAACCCACGCCGGACGCATGTGCGTGTGTGCCCAAGATCCCGAGAGGAGAATGGAGGAGAAGGGATTGCGGCATGACCATCCCCCCTGGGGGGTGATTTCTCACTTTGTGTCTCTCTCTGTCTCTGTCTGTCTGGCGAGCGCACACGCCCTATAGTGAAAAACCTCTAAAATAAAATAAAATAAAATGAAATATTTACCAAGCCCTACTATGTGTCAGGAATTTTGCTAAATCCTGTTCCTGTCTCAGAGAGGGAGAAGCACAGACCAGAGAGAGAGAGAGATCTCTTAGGGGAGATGGGTACACTACAATCCCTTCTTCTTAGGAATTTGGACATGTTTGAACACATACTTGGATGTCCTAAGCCACCAGTTCTGAGACTTGAACCGCAAACTCAGCCATGTGGAATCCTACTGCCTTAACCACCATCCCACTTGCTGGCCCCTGATGTATTCTTTTTTTTTTTTTTTTTTGGAGAGATTTTCACTATAGGGCGCGTGCGCTCGCCAGACAGACAGAGAAAGACATTAGAGACAGAAAGCGAGAAATCACCCCCCAGGGGGGATGGTCACGCCGCAATCCCTTCTCCTCCATTCTCCTCTCAGGATCTTGGGCACGCACACACACGCGCCCGGCGTGAGTTTTAAGCCACCAGGTCCGGGATGCGAACCGCGGTCGACTACGAGGGAGTCCAGTGACATAGCCATTACGCTAACTGCTGGTTCCCTGATGTATTCTCTTTAAGCTGCCAGACACTTCATCTATTAAACCAGAGAAAGGGATGAAATGAGAGGCAGAGTAAATTATTAAATTCTATTCTGGCCCATGTCCCCAGCCATGAATACAAGACTAGATATTTATTATTGAGGCCATAAGTAGAGATCTGGGGGTGTCAGGTAATAGCCAAGGGAGTGGCTTCATCTTCCGTGGAAACTGAGTCTCCTTAGGGGCCCGAGTGGCTTCAGCACTGCACCGCCAGCCTTCTCTCCCTCCCCACTGACATATTGAGTTTCATGCTTTTAAAAATAGCTTCTAAGCAGGAGGAGCTATCTCTGAGCCCTGATCCCAGCCCTGAAATGCAGGCTTCCCTTGACCAAGAGCTGCTCTATGTGAGTGTAATTATAGCTCCCTGCTTACCTTTCATGCAGCACAAGAATGCCCTCTCCAAGTAGGCCCAGATTGTTTGAAATATCCGCAGAGATAGACACCAGCCTCCTTTAGCTAAGCCTGACTTCCTTCACCTCCTTAATAATTCATCTGACTTCTCTTCAGGAGGAAGCCGAAAGCAGCATTTTCATTGTTCCTTGCTACACTTCAAAATTCCCTGAGGATTCCCTGGGGCTCCTTGCTTTTAAGAAACAGCCCCAGCTCCACATAGTCTGTCTCAGTCTCAGAGAGATGGAAGTATCTGGAATGAGTCTCCAGACCTTGGAGGGCTGTCCTGGCCTGGGGACTCACATGTTTGTCCCACAGAGCCCACAGGGGGATGAGGAAGACAGCAGGTCAGGAGGAAATTTCAGGCAGTTTGAGACCACACAGGACCTGGAAACTCCTAGCCTCCCACCTTTACTTCCCATGGCTCATTGGGGCTTTCAGGTATGTTTGCGTTCCTGGGGAGAGGGCTTCTGGCCCCTTAAGGTTTTTCTTCTTCTTCTTTTTTTTTTTTTTAAAGAATTATTGTATTTTTTTTAGTTATTTTAGATAATTATTTTATTTAACTTATTTATTTATTTATTTATTTTAATTTGATCACAGAGAGAATGAGAAAGAGAAAGAGGGAAAGTGAAAAAGCAAGCTGCCAAGTCGGAGACTCGAACTGTGGTCAGCCATGTGGGAGTCCAGCGACATTAACCATCATGCCACTGCTAGCCCCCTGTATTTTATTTATTATTATTTATTTAACTCGTTGAGAGAGAGAGAGTGAGTGAAAGAATGAGAGGAAAGGTAAGAAAGCAAGCCATGAGGTCCAGCACTCAACCGTGATTGGCCACCTAGCACCTTAACCACCGCTTCACTTGTAGGCCCTAGTCCCTTAAGTTTCACCCCCATTTTCCTGACTCTGAATGCCTTGCCACAGAGTTAAAAGGCTGTGTTTTTGTTCGTTCTTTTCTTTCCCAGAAGAGTCTCTTCCCATTAACATTCTATATCATCTACCTGTCCCTACCTCCCTTTGTGCTCAAAGTGTTAACAGCAGTGGTGACCTTTTACTGCATGCCTTTTATGTCCCTGACTAGGGAAGGATTAGTATCTGCATTTGACAGAGAAATAGTCTCTGAGAGGCTAAAGAACTTTCCCAAGGTCACACAGCTAATCTCAATGAGCAATCTGAGATAGAAGCTATTTCTGCTAATGTGGTACTGAGAAGAGTGAATGAGATCATGGATGGATGAGAAGGAGCTGGCAGAGTCCTTGGCACCTAACAGGTGTTCAAGCCATGCACTGCAGCATAGTGGGCAGAGCAGGGTCATAAATGTAATTGCATGCCACTGGGGAGAGAGAGGGAATGTATTGATTTGGCTTTCCTTGCAAACTCCACCTACTGGTTAGTGAAGAGAAAACTTTGGATAAGGAAGTCCCATCTGGTAATTCAGCGGGCTAGAAAAATCGAACAGCCTCTTTAGGTAATTTATCAGTCCACGCAGATCTGCCGCCCCAGCTGTTCCTCTGGGGTGACGAATGAACTTCCTGCAGGCTCTCAGACGTTTGGGGAGGAGACGATGTTCTTTGTTTCTCTCGCAGCTGGGTTTCAGCAGTGGTGCCAGGCTGAGCTCTTGCAGGGGTGAGCATGGCTTCCTTCTGTGGCCACACTCACAGGAGTACAGGCCATGGTCCCTTCACCAACTGGGGGCTCCTGGTCCTCGGATTGGTGAGCTCATCCTGAGCCTTGACCATGCAGTCACTTCCTACCCGTGTTCCTCAAACCAGCGTCTGTCGTACAGGTAACCAAGGGCCACCTGCGAATCACTCACTGCCCGTGAGAACTGCTCCACCCTTTGACCATGCTGACTACCCCCATGGAAGTGTGGGGTCTGTGACAGTTACCTTTCTCAAAGTTGCAGGTGAAGCATGGTCAGGAGCCCCCAGTGTTTCCTTCTACTCTGTGCCCCACACCGTTTCACCCTTCCCAAAGGGCACATCTTCTTGCAGTCCCCAGGCTCCCTTGGACAGGCTTTTCTCCCCTTTCCCTTACTAACTCTACTTCCTGTCCAGAATCTCCATGGTCTCCTCATCTAGGCTTGCTCTTGATTTGTGAAAGAGGAGATGGGAATTGGGGCAAATTCTCTCCCCTGTGCCTGGCTATTGTCTTGCTAAAGAAGTCAAGGGCCTGCCCTTGCCTGTCCTGGCCCCCTAAACCTGCTGACTCACACTTAGAGGTAGCAGCTGAAAGGTTATGGGAGCAATTAAAACTCAGTGGTTTAATATTTGTGAAAGTACTGGCCTCAGTGGAGCAGCGCAGAGGACAGACTTTGAAATCAGATGAGTTTCCATCCCTTCCTCTGTCATTTGCCAGTTGTTTCCTCAAATTTCTTAGCTTCTTCAAACTTCAGTTTCTTCTGTCTATGGGAGGAAATGCCGTGAACAATAAATCATGTGATTAGCATAGTGCCTGGAGCATACAAAGCTGGAGCTATTGGTGTTGGGTCCTTGTTGTTATTATTACTACTAGCATTTCTTCCCTTCTACCCCTGTCATCCTCATGGCTGCTGCGGTGCAGGAGTGAGACTGTAATGTACCCGCATTGTCTTTTTCCAGCTGGTTAAGGTGAAAGCTCAAAGGCCACATGGACTACCACGAGAGGACAATATACGTGATTGCAATATTTTATTTCTATGTGTAAAAGTAGGTTGTGTGGTGGTTAAGGTGCTGGACTTCCACATGGCCAACTACGGTTTGAGTCTTGGACCTGGGACGTTGCTTTGTCACTTGATGCCAGCAGGTGGTATAGTGGTTAAGGCACTGGACTTCCACATGGTAGACCATGGTTTGAATCCTGGACCTGGCGACTTGAAACTCATGCCAGGCATTTGTGTGTTTTCATACCCAAAATCTCAAAAGGAAAATGGAGGAGAAAGGATTGTGGTTTGGCCATCCCCCACTAGGGAGTGATTTCTCGCTTTCTGTCTTTCTGTCTTTCTCTCTCCCTGGCAAGCACATATGTCTTATAGCAAAAATCTCTCAAAAACAAATAAGCAAACAAACAAAAATAATTTCTAAAAATGTTTAGAAAACATGAAGGGAAGATCCACCATAATCCTATTAATCCAATATAATAACTATTCCCTTTCAGTATTTTTTTTTCTCTTTTAAAATTTGACAGAGGGCTTATGTACTCACCAGAGAGAGACAGAAAGAGAGAGAGAGAAATAGAATAAGAGAAAGAGAAGCCCACCTCATGAGGCATGGTCATGCCACAGTCCCTTCTCCATCTTTCCCTTCTCTCAGGATTTGGGACATGCATGTACATGTGCCTGGCATGTTTTTCAACCTGTCGGTCTGGGACTAACCATGCAGCTGGCCATAGGGTCCAGCTGTCATAACCACTGCTACCAGCCAGCTTTCGTTTTCTTTTTTAGATATGTTTATGTAGTTGTGTTTATAATATTTATACTATATTTATGTATAGATTTTTTAAAATATAAAACTGTAGTCACAGATATGTTCTATTAGGTTGTTGGGAAAGTTATGACGCATTTTTCTATGCAAAAATGTGTCATGACTTTCCTGACCCAATAGATTACTACCTAAACTTGATAATTATCAAGTTAATGGCTGACTAATATTCCATTGTGTGCATGGACTATGTAATTTATTAGAATTCATGGTGAAATGCAGTTTTATAGATGCTTTATTTTGGAAAACTTCCATGGAATTTCTCAGACTGATCATTGGTCATTCCCTAAGACCTTTGTGAGATATCTGAAGGAGACAAAAAGGCTCACAGCTCTGCAAGAGGGACTATGTGTTGGGGGGGAGCATGTGTGATTAGGAGTGTGCATGCACATTCAGTGACAGTGGAGCTCTTGATTACCTACATGGCAGATTTTGAGGGGACCAGAAGGACTCACCCACCTTTATTTATTTATTTATTTATTTATTTTGGAGAGATTTTTGCTAGGGGGTGTGTGTGCTTGCCAAAGTGTCAGAAAGAGAGAAATTACTCCCTGGGAGGGATGGCCATGCTGTAATCCCTTCTCCTCTCCTCTCCTTTTGGGATTTTGGGCACAAACACATGCACGCCAAGCATGAGTTTTAAGCCATCAGGTCCGGGACTCGAACTGCGGTCAACTACGTGGGAATCCAGCGATGTAACCATTACGCCATCTGCTGGTCCTGACCCACCCATCTTTAAATAGCTCCTCATCTACTTTTCATAATTGTCCTTGGAGGGTTCCCTCTGAGATCACCCCTAAGAATTAGATTGTCTTGAGGGCAGCGGATCCCCAGCCTGTGAGCCCCGCGCCGCTTCTTGTGTGAGCCTGAGTTGTCTGTGCAGCTTTCCCCTTCGTCTCATAACCATGTCCACCAATGAGAATGCTAGTTCACCAGTTGCCCGTCTTAACAGACTCAAGAACAAGGGAAAAGACAGTACAGAAATGAGGCGGCGAAGAATAGAAGTGAATGTGGAACTGAGGAAAGCTAGGAAGGATGAGCAGATGCTGAAAAGGAGAAATGTAAGCTCATTTCCTGATGATGCTACTTCTCCACTGCAGGAAAACCACGACAACCAGGGCACTTGTAAATTGGTCTGTTGATGACATTGTCAAAGACATTAATGGCAACGATTTGGAAAGCCAGCTCCAGGCTACTCAAGTTGCTAGGAAGCTGCTTTCTAGGGAAAAACAGCTCCCCATAGACAATATTATCTGGGCTGGGGGTTGATTCCAAAATTTGTGTCCTTCTTGGGCAGAAATGATTGTAGTCCCATCCAGTTTGAATCTGCATGGGCACTCACTAACATTGTTTCTGGGACGTCAGAACAGACCAAGGTCGTGGTGGACGGAAGTGGTATCATTTCTCTGTTGGCCTCTCCCCACGAGCACATCAGTGAGCAAGCTGTGTGGGCTCTAGGAAACATCGCAGGGGATGGTTCAGTTTTCCGGGACCTGGTTATCAAGTATGGAGCAATTGACCTGCTGTTGGCTCTCCTTGCAGTTCCTGATAAGTCATCGTTAGCATGTGGTTACTTATGTAACCTTACCTGGACACTTTCAAACCTCTGCCGCAACAAGAATCCCGCACCCTCACTAGATGCTGTTGAGCAGATTCTTCCTACTTTATTTCATCTTCTGCATCACGATGATCCTGAAGTATTAGCAGATATATGCTGGGCCATTTCCTACCTTACTGATGGTCCAAATGAACGGATTGAAATGGCTGTGAAAACAGGAGTTGTTCACGGTCCAAATTAATGGATTGAAATGGTTATGAAAATAGGAGTTGTTCCCCAACTTGTGAAGCTTCTAGGAGCTACCGAATTGCCCATTGTGACCCCTGCCCTAAGAGCCATAGGTAATATTGTCACTAAGACAGATGAACAGACCCAGGTTGTGATAGATGCTGGAGCACTCGCCATCTTCCCCAGCCTCCTAACCAAC